AGTCTCGCGAGAACCAAGTTTTGTTTACAGCAAAGGAAAACCAGTCTCCTCTCGGCTTACATCGAAATTCTCCAATATTTTTCTTTGCAAATCCTCGTTTTGTACTTCTAATTCATGACCGGCGGTTTGTTTTGTTATCTCTCCGCGTTCGTCACTAATCACGCAACGCAGACGCCCTACGTCATCCGCCGGAACGGCTTCCGTGTATGACAGATAACGGAAGTGAGAGAAAAGTGTTTATTACGTTTGAAATATGGATATTTTTCTTACAAAAATGCATGGATTCACTACAGGAATCATTTATTCACCCCCCGGAGCCATGTGAAGCACGTTTTATTACGGATACGTGTGCTTTATTTGACGACTTGTGGACTGTTCAACTGCAACACCCGCTGACTGCAATGATAGAGCTTGGAATAGCCAGGACAATTTTTAATATAACTCCGACTGGATTCATCTGAAAGAAGAAAGTCATATACACCTAGGATGCCTCGAGGGTGAGTAAAACACAAGCTAATTTTCATTTTTGGATGAACTAACCCTTTAATCGTTTTGGTCACCAGAGGGAAACAATACACAGTGTTGAAAGGCTTAGAGAAAATTTTGTTTTAACCATACTGTTTAAACTGTGCCATATTTTATTTTGCTATCGGATGATAATGATCTCTAAATCTATTGTATGTTGGATATTAAAATTATATGTTGGATATTATTATGTATATTTGTAGACATTGTAATGGGGGATTTGTGGACAATCATTCATTTAGATGTTTAGGGTAAAATGCATTTTTGTCTGTTAAATTCTTGTAGGATATATAATTATGTGTAATTTAGATTTATCTCCTGCTGATCCTTTTCTGGCATGGGATATTACTGTATACCGACCAGAGAAACATTTCCCTCCCCAATCTTTCAGCAAAAATGTCCTGTGATTCTGAACCAGTGATGCCCGATTCGTGAATTAAACACTCTTTTGAGTCGGTTCCTTTGCATGAATAGGTCAAATGAGTTCTGACAGCTCACTCACCCACTGAATCATTCGTAGCGGTCTCTCACCACTAACAGGTTACTTCAGAACACAGAGAACAAACTTTTTGATGACGTGGATGTTTACCTATAACCCATTAAAACCCCTGAGAGCATCCTATCGTTTGCCAGCGGTGAAGAGAGTCTTTAAGTTCAACACCTGCGCGTGCAGCTTGTGAACTATATACTCTAGGTAAGACTTTTTCCTTCCAAGAGAGAAAAACACTAACACCACTAAAACAGTGTTGTATTGCTCTTTCTTATGCTTATATTGTTATGAATATTATTAATCCTGTATCTTGCACTTTGCATATCTTCCGACCACGGTTAGAAATAAAGTACAACTTTTATAGTAGCCTACAGACTTCATTAGATACAATGAGGTTTGTCAAGTTGAGGACTTTTGGTCTTTTAACATGACCTCAATATGTCATCATGTCATGTTGTAACTTTACATGACCGTCATGACGCTTGTTTTTGGATCTGTTGATTTCTTCAGAAATATTTGAAAATTTTATTAAACTGATAATTTGATATTTTGGGTGAGATAAGGTCAAATGTCTGGCTGGATCATTGATTCTGATATCATAATGAAGAAAAAACTAATTAGACGTTTTAGAAAACAAACAATGAATAAATAAATTTCATACTCTTCTATTGATGGTAATATATATTTAGATTAATTATTAAATATAAATGTATAACTGTTTTTTCAAAATCACACCAACGTGAATACAAAGAGGACATTTCTGAGAACTTGACATGCACTTTAAACTAGAGTTTTCATTGATTTTTCCTTTTCTTTATCATGGACACTCTTATTTGTATTTGACCCATAAATTTAAGCTTGTGTGTTTTGTTGCACTGAACAGAAAGGACTTGATTTGATGTAAGAGACTTTGGAGTTTGGAACAACACAAATATGCAAAGTTCACAGAAAAGCAGTTCTGTTTATGGAAAAAAAATATGACTCTAACCTCTCTTTTCCTAAAGATGATCAAACTAAAACGGGAAAAAAAAGCAAAACATTTAAACAACATCCCATTAGAAATAAATTATTTTTATTTCAGATATGTCAGAATAACCAAATATACATTCAGCTGAGTGGGATGTATAACACAAATTCAAAGTAACAAATTTGCATATGAAAGCCTACAAACTCATTGATATGCACTGTGTTTTTCACCCAAAGACATTTCACAGTGAACAAACTTTTTGCCAACTTATCTTAAGAAAAGAACTTCAATATGAACATTTCCCAGAAGCTTGGCATACTCAGAGCATCATTAAAAATAAACACATAGCTGAAGTTTTTCACTTGAATAATTGTGACAATGCCTCATGGAGCTATTCATTGCTTCCTTCTGTCCTCATTATCCCAAGAACCGGACAATCTTTGAACAGTTCATACCAGTCCTGCAGTCAGCATGAGCACCGGCACTCAAATACACCAGCAAACTGATCCAACCAATAACCAGCTTGGAAGAAGGTATGTGGATGTTTAATATAATTTGTTGGATTAATTTGCACTGTGACATCTTCATGTTGAATTTCCATCCTGCGCATTGATATTTGAGTCATTTTATGCGAGTCAAAATGAATCAAATATCAATGCATTTTTTTTATTACAGTGAGGCATTTACAATGTGTAAGCCTTGAAGAATCTCAGACACTTTGATCTTCTGAGATACGGACAATACACACACAGTGTATTAATATACAGACATTCATTTCGACATTCCACTGAGAGATGTGAGAAAAGTCCCTCACCTATCCTTTCCATCCACTTCCTTCCCTTCACTCAGCTCACTCAGAATGGTCAATTGCATAATATAATGTGTAACACCTATCCCTTTGACTTTTGTTTAAGTGTTACACGAAATGAGGGACCAAACAGACCAATCTTACTCATGATTGGTGTATTAAACAGTTACCCAGAACATACAAATTCAACATGACACCAATAATTGATGGTCAAACAGTTGGAACCAGAGTATTTATATATATATATATATAAAAAATATAAAAAAACAGTCCAGTATCCCAATGCACAGTCTTTGGTTTGCAATCACTTAGAACCATATACTTTGCTCAGTCTTTGTTGTAGTGAGCTTAAAGTGAGAACACAGTCTTTGTTGAAAAATGAAGTGTGAAATCTACATGAATGCAAGTTCTACATGAATGCAAGTTATATTCACAGTTATGTTTGGTATCATTTAAATTGTCTCCATGCATCTGGTACAATGGTCTTAATCTTACAAGAAGTAGACTAAAAGGTAATAAAGATCCTAAGAGTTTAGAGATAAGTTGATTACTGTAGAGGATGTGTCATTTCCCAGTGCCTTTCATGCAAATTACCATCGGTCCCCAAATGGTGTAAACACGTCTAGGCCTTGATCAATGCAAATTCTAATTGTTAGTTCCTGTCTCCATTTGGAGGATGTTTGTCTTGGTCGGAGTACTTAAGAAAATGTTGCAAGAAGATCAGGGCGCCGATTTATCTTTGAGAATCTGGTGTCTTGTATTGATTATCTCTGAATTGACTATGTAATTGGCATAATACATTTTACCTGACTGATAATAAATCGTAACATTTGATTTTATTCTGATTTACTCTGAAATTATTTTCTCAAGTAGATTAAGTGAAGGCGAATGTGCAAATCTGCGTCCAGGGTTAAGTACATACTAGATCTCAGGTTAGATGGAGCATGGGGCACATCAGGTGAGATACTAGATTTCTGACTAACTGCTTGACTTTAGTTAAGTTGTTATGCAGTTGCATTAACTATGGGGGGCTAGTCATAGTACAAGTTATAACCGCTGGTTATTAAGTTGTACGTACTTATAATAATTATCGGGGGCTAGATAAATATACTAGCATAACCTCTGATTATTGTCTGAGCTTTTTTCAAGTTGTACGAAGTAATTTTAACTATCGGGGGCTAGATAAAAATACTATTGAAATATTAACATATTTCATAGTACTAGCATAACCTCTGATTATTGTCTGAGCTTTATTCAAGTTGTACATAGTTATATAACTATATAAATAGTTATATAATTATCTAACTAGACAAATAGTTCTAGCATAGCCTCTGATTATTGTTTGAGCTTTAACTAAGTTGTACAAAGGTAACTGTAGGGGGCTTAACAGAACTACTTTTTAAAGAATGGTAAGCATAGGCGACCTATTAAATAGTATTAATCATAACCTCTGGCTAATGATCCGACTGAAGAGTTTGTGATCGTGAGATCCGCGTACACCGGCCGGCGTGAGAACCTCTGAGCGACATAGATTCCTAATGAACGAGTAAAATATAAAGTAAAGAGTTAACTAGAACAATCAAATGTCAGAAGAAGAATAATTAGAAATGGACAAACAACTAATTCGTATGACAATCTAAAACCGAGGTCATAATAAAATGGAGTCAGATTAGAGTTTAAAGGGGTCATATGATGTTGCTAAAAATAACATTATTTTGTGTATTTGGTGTAATGAAATGTGTTTATGCGGTTTAAGGTTCAAAAAACACATTATTTTCCCATACTGTACATTATTGCTTCTCCGTCGTGTCCTCTTTTGGAAGACCAAACAAAGTAGTTTCACTTTTACAACGAAACACAAGGCGGGCTAGAGTGAGCGGAGGCCGGCGGCTAGAGTGAGCAGTGACGGGCAGGCTTGAGAACGGCGTGGCCAGCGGGCTTGTGGCAACCGGAAAGGAAAAATTGAAATCGCATCATATGACCCCTTTAACTTAAATTTAATAACTTTGCGTACCGAAAAGACCGAACACGCAGGAAACCTTTGCCATCATTGGATACCTTCATTGGGCCAATTGCATGGACCTTACACAATGTAAGTAAATGGGTTATTTCTTTGAGGATTTAAAAGCAGAAATGTGAAACTTACGATTTAAAAAAGTAAAGTTTGTAAAGTTTGTCTTGTCATTTTTTCAGTAATTTTAAGGTTTGTGGTGTTTCATGGCAAAAAAAAAAAACTATTAAAAATTGGAATTAAGTTATGTTCAGCTACGGTTGCCATATATAAGAATAAGACGTGAAATGTCTTGTTTTTTCTAAATAGTTTGGCAGAAGACTACTTGGAAAAAACGTACACCAAACACACTCTGAATCAAAATGAGCTGCGGAAATGAAATCAGCTCAGCTGCCAGTTCTGGCACTCTTGTTAACAAAGTCATTTTGTTGGGATGCCAATTTTAAAGTAACCTAATGTGCCCTCTCACTTGTGTCTGTTACGTCAAGAACTGAAGTGAAAGAGAGAATAGAAGTTTCCATGACTGATGGGAATTAAATTCACACATTTTGTGAGCTCCCGTCTGTCAACAAAGCTGCTGGGGCTTTAGTACTTAGTAACCCAAACGTGTCACTGTGGGGGCTTATAATGCTGTTGAGCGGTTGCGGCATGTGAGTCATGGGTATGGCAGCAAGAGCCGGGTCTGACTGCAGGGAGAGCCAGAGTCCACTGCTATCTAACAGACCAGCAATCTGTGTTTCAGCTCGGACTGTTCACCCATGACAGACCTTTTGCAGCAGGATGTTGGGGATGGATTGTGTAAGTAGAGTAACTAATATTTTGTTTAGCATATTCAGTTTGGAGATCAGGATTATGCTCTGACCTTCTAATCCTGTTGTTCGCATCATCAAATTTTTAGTCATTGAACTGTGATGATCTCTTATCCAATGCAGCAGAGAAAAAGAGCATTGAGGAGGTTCTGGCAGGTGCAGAATTGGCCCCAGCCCAATGCCTGTGGACTACAGAGGCCAGCAGATCAGTTCAGCTGAGAATGGATGAACTTTGTCCAGAACAGCCCATCACTGTACATCAGATGTTTACTAACTCAGTTCAGAAGTACGGGAAGTTGACCGCTTTGGCAAGCAAAAGAGGAAACAAATGGGAAAAAGTTACCTTTTCGGAATATTATCACCTCAGTCGAATGGCCGCCAAAGGCTTTCTAAAGGTGATCTTAGAGCAGTTTTTAAACACTAATTTATACATAGTGTGTTCATTTTACAAATTTAATTTGCACAGCTCGTTCTCATGTAATTTATAGATTAGATATAATACAATAATATTTGAAAATTCTCCTAGCTTGGTCTGGAGCAGTTCCACAGTGTAGCCATCCTGGGATTCAATTCAGCAGAGTGGTTTATTGCTGCTGTTGGAACTGTCTTTGCAGGGTGAGAAATACCCATAGTTTTTTTTTTAAGCTTAAAAATTCCACACTTGCAATTTTTCAATTTAAATTGTACTGCATAATCGAGGTGCAGCTGGATTTGTGTATTCAAACTATGTCTAGCATACTGTTTATACCAGGGGTCCTCAATCTCGAGATCCATTTTCTTGCAGAGTTTAGCTCCAACCCTAATCAAGCACGCCTGAACAAGCTAATCAAGGTCTTCAGGATTACTACAGTTGCAGGTAGGTGTGTTTAATCCAGGTTGTAGCTAATCTCTTCAGGGAAGTTGATCTCAAGGTCCAGAGTTGAGGACCCCTGGTTTATACTATACATGCTGGATGAAGCCAAGCTACAGTTGCATTATTCCAACTGGTCTGTTAGTCTGACTTCACAAATATCACAAAAGCATACAAATCTAACTTTCAAAGTACATGTAAATGTACTTAGTGTGAAACATGGAACAAGATTACTAAAATGACCCTGGGTTAACGATCTCAAGTGTAAAAAGCTTGTTTACACATTGGTCAAGATGTTGCAGGGGCCTTTAACATCAAATAAAACATTAATTGAATTTATTAAAGTGGGAAGGGAGTATTAGGTCTAGGATCATTGCCCTCACATCTATATTTTGTTTGTGCTAGGGGTATAATGGCGGGTATCTATACCACAAACTCGCCAGATGCCTGCCTCTACGTTGCTAAAGACTCAAGAGCCAATGTCATTGTTGTGGAAAATCAAAAGCAGCTGGATAAGATTTTACAGGTAACATTTGGTCTACTTTATGTTCTCAACCTGGACCTCCTCATACTCAATAAGCAAGCTGATTAATACTCCTGTTTGTCTTGTTAGGTAAAGGATAAGCTTCCACACTTGAAAGCCATAGTACAGTATTCTGGATCTTTGAAGGAGAAGTTGCCCAATTTCTATTCGGTGAGTGTCTGATACAGAGATCTCTGAGTTAGCATGTAGGCCAAAGTTACCCAAAGAGTTACCATTACTGTTTGTCTTTGAACAGTGGGAAGAGTTCATGGGACTAGGACTGGAAGTTTCTGATCAAGAACTAGATGAAGTCATCAGTAGTCAGAAAGCCAATCAGTGCTGTGTACTTATTTACACATCTGGGACAACCGGATCCCCGAAAGGAGTGATGCTAAGCCATGATAACGTAAGCTGCTATGGAAAATGACATTCACAATATAGCAGCAATGTTTTGCTGCAGATTAATGACAGTTTTAAATTCTGGACTCTTATAGATCACATGGACAGCCCACCATGCAAGCAGGGCTGGAGATATGCAGCCAGCTGAAATCAGGCAAGAGTCTCTGGTCAGCTACCTTCCTCTCAGCCATATTGCCGCCCAGATCTATGATCTCTGGACAGGGATCCAGTGGGGGGAGCAAGTTTCCTTTGCTCAGCCAGATGCTCTAAAGGTAAATGTTTAAGAACAGAACTTTTGTTTAGCTTTAGGCCAATCAGTCCTGCTCCTAGAGGGCCACCTTGCTGCAGAGTTTAGCTCCAATACGCCTGCCCTTCTTACACACTTCCTACCAATCTTACACACTCTACTGGAAGTTGGAACCCCTGCTTTAAATGCTGTGTCATGATCAAATATCAGTGTTGTAGTCGAGACCAGGGCAGGACCCGAGTAGATCAACTCTCTAAAGTCAGAGACCTGAAGTTGGTTGATTATATACATTATAATCACCCC